GCTACGGGAATACTTTTTGTGCGCAAAGAAAACAAAAATAGCAACTTTATTCGACAATTCGTCTCCTCTGCGTCACCCTATAGCGCCATTTTGGAGAGTATCCTTTACATTCAGATCAAAGTACAAACAATGTAAACAGCATATCCGTGTGTAACCCCTCTCTCCCGGGTCCTCACCGCCACACCTCCTTCTTGTTCCGAGTGGGTCTCGAACCCGGGTCTCCGGCACAGACGCACTAACAAGGAGGCTAAAGACTGCAACCTACTCGCTGGCCTCCGTTACACGTGTATGGTGTTGCTGACACAGAACAGCATACGTTGTTTACGTATGTGATACTCTCCAAAATGGCGCTATAGGGTGACGCGGACATCGCTGGAGGAGGCAAATCTACTAACAATCCACCGCTACAGCATCTGACATTAAAATGAGCCAGTATAGAGAGAGAGGGGGTCCTGAGCCCCAGAGAGCCAAAGGATAAACTTATACAATAAAAAACAGAGCCTGTCGTCCACTAATCAATTCTCTGCAGGCAGTCGGAGCGAGCGACGAGATACACAGACGAATTGTTGAATAAAGTCGTTACTTTTGTTTTCTTTGCGCACAAAAATTAGCTTTGTAAAAGAAGATGAACGAAGGTCTGACAGGTTTGGAACGACATGAGGGTGAGTAATCAATGACAGAATTTAAATTTTTAGGTGAACTATCCCTTTAAGTTAGCATTAACACACTCTCTTGGCAATTTGTAATTATTTTGCATTTTAGCGAATTGGTGGCTAATTTGTATGAATTTGTACCATCACATGCTTTATTGACGGTTATAGGTTTAGTGGGAACCTTCATGCTTACTTTTTTCCCTAAAAATCAGACGTTTCCATATGAATCACATTATACCAATCTATAGGAAAACATTGTAAAACAGTCTACATTGTATACCGCATACTGTTTTTGTTAAAATAGTATACAATACAGTACAAAACATGTAAAAATAAACAAAGTAAAACAGTACATTGTAGTCAAAAGACTATATAGTAAAATAGTACTAACAGTATAATAGTACTTCAAACTTATATAGAGTCTGAATATAATAATTACAAACTAACTGCCAATATCATTTTTGAAGCACAAACACTAGATTTCAACTTTACAGTGTGCTGTACACATACATAAACGTGAATTCCGTGGGGACGTTAATGTAATACAGGACAGTATTGGACATATTTCAGTTTTCTGCCTGTAAACAGCAGCACTAGTCAATATTATAGTTCCAGCCTCCGCTGCTGCTTCTTTTCAATTATCCCTGATCATAAAACAGGGGTTTAAATGCAGAGAACAGTCTGATCTGGGATACCCTCATGAATTTCAGCTCTAAAAATATCAAATATGCACGTTATTGCTGTTTCTGAAATAATATCATGATTTAATGCTCCCTGTGAGAGTGTTTTACTGTATAAGGTTCAGAGTGAGTTCAGACAGAGCTGTATTATCTGTGCAGAAATGAGAGATGAGGGGATTGTCTTCCTTTATTTCCTTCTCCCTAAAAATAAGTCAAAAAGTGAAAACAAACAAAAAGAAAAAAGGAAAGAACTGCAGACATGCTGTTTCGTCCCGCTCATTGAGCTTTTATCAAAGCAACGGCATCTAGAACACAATGCAGAGCTGCGATTCAGCAGCACATGAGGAAGACTATTCAAGAGATGAATCCAGAACAATACTGGAGAGCGCAGAACATCTCCAACATGCTCATAAATAATCCACCATAACAAAAGACACTAAAATCCAAGGTTCTCAGCAACATAAGAGCTGCAAACAAAAGCCGGTGGAAAATGAGCATATGCAATGAATAATTCCACCATTTCCTTTACAATTCATGAGGATGATGCATTTGTGGGCTTTACTGAACATAATTTCATTGCCAAAAGAAAAAAAGCTGCTTGTTTGATCTGAGTCTAATAGTCTGCAATGATGCAAAGATACCAAAAATAGGTTATTTAACACAAGAAAGACAAGTAAAACACTGTAGAGAGAGAAAAACAGAGTAAGAAAAAAAGAGGGTTGAAGGAAAGAAATCTTTACTTTCACGCTCCCATTGGAAAAGCTCTTTTTATATGAGCTGTGCATCAAATTCTCCAGATGTACAATTACATCTCCTGCTGTTCTGCTCTTTAACTCAACAACTGACCATCTTCACACTTTCTGTTACTCTCTGACTCCTGGAGATGTTCTCTTTCTGCCTTTCTTTCAATGAATTCAGCACTGGCTTTTTTTAGATGATGAAGATAGGTCTGAGAGGTGCTAGATTTGATATAATTATGATTCTACAGCTGCTTTATGTTTCTCTGAGGACACTAAACAGCATTGACGGGACATGCTAAGTCAAAACCAGAGGGCTCGTAATGTGCGTGATGGTTCAAAAGGAAATGCACCATGTTTTAAAAGAGAGATCTTCTGAATCATGGTCTGAATCACTGCTGGAACAGATATAGATAAGACGCCTCAAACAGAATGGGTAATTTTCAGGCCTGGTTGAAGTCTTGCATCTTAAATGGAGGTGCAGTACTTCAATGGTCATGAAATGAACAACACAAGATGTCAGAAAAGTGACTCGGACTGATCCACTGATATAATTGGACTAAATTATGTAGTCTCATTACACATAAGATATTGATACTGCTGCTATATGTATAAATCTGAAGTTCTGTCATCTTCAAACCAGCAAGATGAAGTTTTACTGACCGTAAAACAACTACACCACAGCTCATATGCTCATGTTACTCCAGTAAATGTGTTTTACCTGATGGCAGATCTCGTGCACCACCACCATGGTGAGCTCCATCTGATAGGAGAAGGAAGAGACGTCAGGATCCAACAAGATCTTCTGCTCCACAAACACACTCAGGCCCCAGTTCTCCATGGCTGCATACGGATGCTTCGGCACTGCCAGGAGATCTGCACACAGTGAGGAAGATCCAAGCTCAATGACGGGAAACCAGGATTGTGATACAATGCAACAACAAGTAAGTGTAAACAAATATAACAAACAGCAGCTCAATCAAACCAAACACTTTCCAAGTATTGTGACACCACTGCATATGATTCATCTTGTTCACTGTAAATGATGTTCTAAAACAGACAAATGTTCTTCTGTACTACATAACTGTACACCATAGAACAAAAGCTCAAATCCCAGATATCATCTGATGTGGATTAGCCTTTAATCAAATGCATGTATCATCTAATTGCTATAATCAAAGATCATTGAATTTTAAACCCAAAACCAGACACAGCAAAGCAACAAGACACGCAGCTCCATAATCATATTTCCCTCCAAACATATTTAAAATGGCTCCTTTACTCAAGTCTGTGTATCAGTGGCACAGCAGACAGCGAATCAGCTGTTTTAAATGCCTCCAACTCCATGAGCCCATCTCAGGAACCATTCATATGCCAATGAGAACAGAAGCAGTTAAACCTCTGGTGCTGTTAAATCCACATCTTATAATCAGCCACAGAGGAAGAGGAACTTTTGAAAGCTGTAACATGATTATCCGCCGGGCTGGTTGTTTATGTCTCATTTGCATGTTTCATGAATTGGGCTGGAAGCAGCTGCAGAGTTTTGGAAGGAAGCTTCAATCGTCATGGTGACTGATAAAGCTGCAGGGCTGCACGGCGGGGAAAAAAATCTGCGTTAAAAGTGAGTAGCAGTCAGACGCTTCACTGATAATGACGAGCCCCCATTAGGATAGTACGTTCACACATGATTAATATTTCACTTTTACGCAGAAATGATGGAGTGACGAGCTCATTCAAGAGGCAAAGAACAATGAAAACAGCAACGCAAAGGTGAATAACTGAAGAGGAATTCAGGTTTAATTGGCCATTTTTAACGTTCTTTGTGGACGAGAGACTTGATGCTCTTTTAATTGGGCTTTTGTACAGATTCATATTGCAATTACACGACTGATGCTCTTGAAGAGAGTGACAAAAGCACTTGTACTTCAACTCAACCAACTTTGTCACAAATTTCAAGATACAAAACCAGACCAAGACTAAACACCTCAAAGCCCAGATCCAGATCAGTATGTAAATATAATAATCCTTTAGTATATATCTAGGTACTTTAACTGCAGCCTACTTTTGAAAAAGTAGGGGACTACTTTTGAAAGGAAAACAGACAAACATATGTTAATTACTGCAACTATAAACTGTAAGTAATCATTATAACCAGGCATATGACCTCCTATAACACATATACATAATCAATATCACGGGATGATGCATGTTGTTTACTGAATATATAATGACATTTGGAAAAATACCACCATATCCAGTGTGATATTGCTTTCATACTACAGTTCAATATAAATAAAGGGTAATATTTAGAACTTACATTGTAGACACTATTGCCATTTACTTTCTGTTTTTGCTATGTTAATGAAAATATTTCCAAACGAAACCACAGAAACATTTTAAACGAATCAGTTGAGTTAACGTTTCAATGGCTCATTCATACTTGACTAAATGAATCAGCACTTTAAACAAATCAGTTGGTTGAATGATTCAATTACTCACTCATATGCGACTAGTTCCTGAATGAATCAGTGTTTTAAACCATTTGTTTGAGGGAATGATTCAATGACTCATTCATACTTGATTAGTTTCTGAATGAATCAGTGATTTGGAACGAATCAGTTGAGTGAATCAATCTCACACTTACTGACACCTACAGACACAACCCGCAAGAGTCTGAAAAGTCCTAACACTGATGGGCTATAATGTATTGCGATGTCTCCCATCTAATCAGATTTGGAGACCAAAACTGTTACAAATATAGTACATATGTGACCCTGGACCAAAAAAACAGTCCATTTTTTGAAATTGAGATTTATACATCATTTGAAAGCTGAATAAATAAGCTTTCCATTGATGTATGATTTGTTAGGATAGGCAATATTTGGCCAAGAGACAGCTACTTGAAAATCTGGAATCTGAGGGTGCAAAAAAATCTAAATATTGAAAATTGCCTTTAGAGTCCTTAGCAATGTATATTACTAATCAAATATTAAGTTTTGATATATTTACGCTAGAAAATTTACAAAATATCTACATGGAACATGATCTTTACTTAATATTCTAATGATTATTGGCATAAAAAAAATCAAATCATTTTGACCCATACAATATATTTTTGGCTATTGCTACAAATATATACCTGTGCGACTTAAGACTGGTTTTGTGGTCCAGGGTCACATATATGAATACAGTAATCATTTTGTACAATGGTATATATAAAAGTACCACAATATTACATACTATCATTGTATCCTAGTATATCCACAGTGCTTCTATTTTTTGGAAATTAGATAGTTTCTATCGTCTACTGCTGTAAACTAAGCCATTATAAGTCACAATACCTGTAGTTGATATGTAAAGCTCCACTCTTTTGGATTGAACAGGTTCATTTTGACAGTGCTGTAACATTGCAGAAACCATGATGATGCAAAGTTGGAGAAATTCCACCTCTCCCTGTCATTCACTCTTTCACATCTGCTATTAAAAGAGGCTGAAGGAATCTGCAAGGGTAAGATGAAGGGACAAAAAAGAGGGGGGGTGTAGACCAGGGCACGGTGAATGGCAGGAGACGCAGTAACAAGAGCGTCTGGAAAAACAGCAAGATCAAAATAAACAATCAGCTTGTGTTTTCAGAGAACAGAACCTCCACTAGCTCCACTAAAGCAATTATTCATCACGTTTCTCACACCTCAGTCTGTTTCACACAAACACACACACACAGCCTGAGGTCTAGTTCTGAGCATTCAGGTCTATCTGGAGGTCTGTATTACCTGCGCTGCTCTTTGAGGCTGTTTTAGGGCAAGCGGTCCTGGGGCGACACAGGAAGTGTGGCAGAAGAAGGCGGGAGGAAGTGAACGTGAAGCTTTTCTCACAGCAGGGTTCAGTCTGTCAGCGCACACCTGCTCTCTGCTAACGTTCACTTCTTAAAAATCAGCTAGACACTTGTCTGTATACAGAGCGGCAGAATAGAAAGGAATATTTGCATCTCTACATTTTGCTTCTCTTATGTGTTTCCTTCTATTCATCTGTCTGTGTCTATCTATCTATGTGTCTGGCTGCTATTTGGTGTTTTACAGTATGTCGTTTTTAGCATTATTGTTAATATGTGTTGCTAGTAAGATGTAGTTGGTTATTTACAGGTTTCATCTCAAAAGAGCCCACAACCAAGTCTTTATGATATTCTTGTTTATAGATATGACTCAGCTCCACCCTTCAATGTTCTGTAAGTGTTGTTTTCACCAGATGGAGGTAGTAAGTTTGATAGTTTAGTAAAGTAATAGCACACATCTGCTCAACAAGACATTATTTGAGGCATCATTCATGTACAAGTATTTCAGGAAGAGATACACACTTCAATTTAATACTTAGTTTGTTCAAATCAATAAAAATTTGACTTTTGTTTCAACAGTTGAAGGGCAGAAATTACCACCATATTTGACATAATCTGTGTTCACACACCTTGTTAACAATTATCACCTTCAAGCGCAGTTCTCCCCACAGGCGAAGACATTTCCAATTATTATATACTGTAGTTATTGGACACACATCGCCTGATGTTGTTAAGACTCACTATGATTACACAGTATTTGTCTCAGAGGAAACAGAGCTCTGATAGGAAGAAACGCTGAGCCCCAAACCACTGAAAACACTTAATGAAGTTTCTTCATTAAATTAATACACTTAATGACCATCAAGGCATCTGTGTTTGAAGTAGTTGTCCATGAATATGCGCAGTGCTAGTTCTTTTGATGCTAGTTCTGTGTGTGAGGGCATGTAAGGGCCGTTCATTAGCAACCTGCTTATTCACCCTCAACGCACTAAAAATACACTGTGAGAAATGGAAAGATACATGAATCTGTTTACTCTGTTTACCCTGGTATACTTAATCTCTAACAGCTGCTGCATTACAGACAAGTTCAGTGAGGAATTATGACCATCAAAATTAAAGCTTAATGCTCATTAAACTGAAATATAATAATGCTATTGCTAACTTCACCTTATGCTTGCTAGACTTTTTTTTTTTTTTAATTTTATTCACTGCACTATATACACATAGATTTCTAATGATTATACTCTGCATCACTAGAAAAGACTCCAGCTTCAACATTAGACTTTTGTTTAGGAATAAATCTTATAGTAACAGAATAGCATCACTCATATAGAATCCCTTGTATTAAAGCAGTTAAAAGTTGATCTCAACAGCCCAGAAACAGTGACAATAACAACTTTCAATCCAGCATTAGCAAAGTCAACGCTTTAGGCTTTACACACTTCAGCTGTTAATGCTATAAGCTCTGTCTTGTTTCTTCTGTTTAATAGCTCAGATAAGAGTTAAACTGGCCTGACTTCAGTGCTGGACTCTTTAAGAGTGAGTCTGTTTAGCATGTTAAACTGATGTGATGTGATGAAGGTCTGACAGAGCAGCTGTTCACTTTCACACACTCTATCATCATATACATCTACTTTCACCTTCAACAGTCTTACAGGATTAGTATCGACAGAACATTCATCAAAGGATTAAACCGATTAGGAAATAGATGTACAGAAGTATACTGAGTGTGTGAAGTGTGTTTCTCTTGTTATTTGACACTTAGATGTTTCAATTCTGTCTCGTAGTGAAATTCCCAAAGATCCTTTCTTTGATTTACCAGAAGTTCCAGCTTTCAGCTGTGGTTTTCACGTCCGTGCTTGATTACAACACACTTACATTTTGTTAGTAGCCTATTTCTGACTATAATAAAACACTTGTCAAGTCTTGTCAGTGTTCTCAGCAGGACATTCTAAGGAACTAGGGTTACATACGTAACCTGAGACGTTTTACTGCAGCATCAATGTTTAAAAAAAAAAATAATAAATTCATATACATCCAGTT